GCAGGAAGTAGAGTTTTGGGGATTCTTGTCTTTTAAAAGGAAAATAAATCTTTGTTCTTTCCAGACTGAATCCCTGGCCTCTCCGCTTTTTCTGAAGAGCAGTGTCAAAAGACTTTGTGACCAGGGTTATATATATAAAAAAAACCTCCCACTGAATTCTGTTGCGTATTTGACTCAGTCTTTTGTGTTCAGCACAAATAATGCATGCTCTAGCATATAGACAATTTGTGCCTTAATTCCACCTTCATGCATTTCACAAACATTTCCCACTAAGCTTTTACTCAATTTTACAGTTGCCCATCAGAAAATGTAACAGTCAATACAGACCACTGGAAGAATTGCTTGCACTCCTGAGAAATAAGGGTCCTTATTTAAGACAACCGCCTTTGGGTATCTTTAATACCATCGTGCTTACCAGTCTAGTTAGTTCCTTAAAAGAACTTTCAACATGTAGCAGTTCAAAGCAACAGCCAGATCCAACTTCTATTTTGCAAACATCAGCAGAGAAATCAGCTTACCTGTAGGAAGAACTGGTAATGGTTTTCCTTCCAGCTTATCCAAATCCGTGGTAAATAATGGGATTCTGGGGTCATCATAGGCAACGACCTCCCTTTATAATAGAAATAAAATTTTGTAATTACTATGTTTAATTACTTAGAATAAAATGTATATATTTTATTACTTTATATAAGTTAAAAATTACTATAACAGTATTCTTTATTACTATTCCAATCTGGCAGTTACAGCTGAAATGGAACTGATTTTCTAATAGGGTACGGTGACATATATATATATATGTATGTATGTATAATGCTGCAGTAACTGGGAAACCTTTATGTAGAAGCCTCACCTCTGATGAGGATTATAAAATAAATTAATAAATTAGTGAGCAGTTTCTTTGCATAACCCATCCGCTTTCCTTCAGGGGCTGACAGGATTAAAATCAAGCATAAACATTTGTAGTTTTTGTCTCCCTGTGCATCAGTGATCATCCTTCTGCACGTTTCTGCTGTCACCGGTTTAAAAGGTATTTATTCGATTGCTGTATGACAACTAGGTTGGATCTCCACAACAGTGATTAGTAGGTTTAATTGACAGGTAATTGGACACCAACTTTCTCATAGCAAGACTCCAAAAAAAATATGCATTCTGAGTATTATCTGTCATGGTTTCAACACAAATAACTATCTATGAAGCGTTCAGGCAAGCTCTTGCAAGGAGTGTAACTACTAGACAGATGACGCTCAAACACCACAGAACCAGAGAACCAAAGAAGAAGTTAAGGCTATGGTTCAACTTTAACTGCATAAAAAACAAGGGAAATGCACAGATTCCTCCCTACCTGTGCTTCACTCTACACAGACATCCCGTGGGTCAGCCTAATGGTTCTTGCGCTTAAGTTATCCCACATATAGAATCATTTAGGTCTGTGCTGTCAATTCAAATGTAATTTCCTTTATCCTCCTACTCACCAGTTGACATTCTGAGGTCGAATGATAATCTTTCTGTATGCTCCAGAAAGGGAATAATCTCTGATCTTATGCCTCATGTTGTTGATATCAAGATTGTCAGCTACTAGCATTTCCTTGTAGGCCTCACCAACTGCAAGAGAGGAAAATATTTAATAGGAGAGAGCTTAGTGCTGCTGATCAAAACAGCCCGTTTTCATGGATCATTGCTTCCTTTACATGTAGTAGTTTTTAGCATATATGGGATAAATGTTGCACAGTTTAAAATTACTTATTGCAAATCTCAGTTGCTTCTACACCCTGATTAGTAGAGGCAGTAACCAAGAAAGAATCTTTGCACATCAAAATTTCAGCTGAAAACAAAATTTACAAAGTATTTTATTGACATTCTGTGGACATCCCACATGCTTTCCAATTATCTTCACATGACTAAGCCCAGGTATACAAATTAAGAACAATACCGGCCAGACTGCCTCTTACTCTATCTTTGAAAAAAAGCAGCAGAGTCAGATAAATTAAGTCAGCCCCCAATTAGCCATCAGGGACCTTTAACTATACTGCCAACGGGAGGAGTAAGTGTTGTACAGTCTGGTATCCTCCAGTAAGGATGTGTGCATGCACACCTGGGGAAGACAGGGAAGGCAATGGAAATACAAGAATACTGCAGCTAAAATGCTGTCTGGTGCCTTTGATTTGCAGTGCAGCTGCCAGCATTACTTCACAGAGTCGGGAATTCTAAACAGGAAAGCATTAGGCTTCCTGTGGGCAAATCCCCAGTATAAAGGTATTGAATGTAAAAAATCGCAGCTTTTCTTTCCAACCTTTTCAGTGTCATTCCGAGCCACACCTCCTCACAAACGCAGCTTTATCTTCCAAGTGTTTCAGAAATGGGTGATAAATGGGATTGTGGCTCTGGGACTTAGCTCTGACAGGCAAAGTCTCCAGAAACTTGACCGGTCATTTAAGGACAACCAAGTCTCAAGAGCAGTTCAGTCCAATACTGAGGAAAACAAGCCTAGTATTGGTAGACTGTTTCAGCTAAGCAGGGAACTCATGACAAAGTTCCTATTTAAGGACACATACAGTAGGTGAAAGCTGGGGCCAGCTGCAAAGAAGGAATACACATTGTCTAGACACGTAGGGATGATGTTAGGAAAATCAAAGATCAGCTGGAGTTGAAATCAGCAACAGACATCAAGAGTCAAACTGCAGCATCAGGAATGAAAGAATACAACAAGGGAAAAGTTGGCCTGCTGCTCAGTGGGGCAGCTGGCTTAGTGACAGCTGTAAGGCCAATGGCCTCAGCACCTCCTCTGCCTCAGTCTTGACCAGCAAGGTCTCCCAGGCCTCTGTTCCAGGAGGCAAAGTTCAGGAAAGAGAGGGATTAGCAGCAGTAGAAGATACAGGTTGAGTGAGCTGGCTTGTGTTATGGTAAAGCTTTACTCTGTCATCTCTGAAAGATCATAGAGATCTGGGGAGGTCCCAGGTGACTGCAGAAAACCAAGTGTTGCTCCTGTCTTCAGAAAGAGCAAGAAGGTTGATCTAGGGAATTACGTACTTGACAGACTCACTTTAGTCCCTGGGAAAAATAATGGAGCTAATCCTCTTAGAACATGTTTCTGGGCACACAATGAGAATAGTGAGCATGGTTTTACCAAAGAGGGAAAAAGAAAAACAAAACGCCCCACCAATCTGACTGCTTTCTATAAGGAAACTATTACAGCTGTAGATGAGGTGAGAGCCATTGCATTGCTGTTGCCTACTTCGCCTTTAGTAAGACTGTCAACATGTTCCCACAGGAACTAGATAAAAGGATGACAGCATCCTTGTATCCAAGGTTAGAACATTACAGTGGGTGGACTGCTAGACAAGTAAAGAACTGCCTGGCTCATTGTCTCAAAGGATAGTCACTACTGGTTTAGGCACTACATAGAAGATCATTACAAGCAGAGTTCCTCAAGGAACTGGTATGTGTCCTGTTAAATACTTTTATCAGCATACATGGAGAAGGAGCTGGAATTCACCTCAACAAGTTTGTGGATAAGATGAAGCTGGAGCAGTTGATACACTCAAGGCCTCATGAAATTCAGCAAGGACAAAGCCCTGTACCTGAGTGCAATTAACTCCTTGCAGAGGACCAGGCAAGTGACCAGCTCTGCTGACTCTCACCTGAGACTCCTCGACAGAGCGCCCTGGAGCAACAAAAGCCAGTAGCAACAGGAGCTTTGCCAGTAACTACACCAAGAAAAACAAGTACTGCCCTTTACTGGGCACTCATGAGACTGCACTTAGAAAGGTGTGTCCAGGACAAAGTAGATGCTGATAAACTTGAATGAGTCCAATGGAGGAGCACCCCAATGGCAAGGGATTTAGCCCATGTCCTGTGAGGAGAGCCTGAGAACTGACCTTCTTTAGCATACAGAAGAGAAGACTTAGAGAACTTGGAGAGTGTTTGTTCTTGAAAGTTTCAGACAAAACCCTGAGCAAGCTGGCCTGAACACAAGCACTGACCTTGCTTTGACCTAAAGGTTGGACCAGAGGGCCTCTAGAGGTCCTTTTCAACCAAAATAATTCTACAACTCTATCCCTTCAAAATAACATCATGTTCCATGCAGATTAATTACAGGTCACTCAACCTATTAATCAAAATCTATTTAGGTACAATACGCTGTATATACAGGAGATTAAGATATGCTCTTTTTTATTTTTAAAACATTCACATTGGTTAATATTTAATTAAACAGATCTGGTTCTTCTTCCTAACTTTAGGCATTTGCTTGGATTACAAATCCTAGCAGTTGTTTGTTTTCTAATTTAAAAATTAAATGCATACACTTTGTAATTAACATTTCACCATTTTTTCCCCCTTCTGCTGAGATAAATAATTTTCCCTCAGTAAAAAAAATTCTTTGGGAAAGCTACTTGATAAAAAGAATGAAACAGATTTATGTTACATGAACAATAGCAAACTATTAGTATCACAATGGGAGAGGGTGACAGTAATTGTATCAGAGACCTGAAATAGTGTATTATTTTAATGGTCACCAAGGTTGCATAGGTCTGATCTTCCTTTAAAGGAAGATCTTTTTAATCTTAAAGCAGACTTACATTTTCTAAGTACAAAAGTTAACAGTCAGACTTACTTTTATGCTTTGGATAAATAACATCAAATCCAGGCAATGGCATCACTACATCGTGGATAGTGTAGTTATCAACCTCTCCTTCTTCAATATGAACAGCTGTGGCTACAATCAGGACAGAAAAATGAAGTTACCAGTATGGATGGCCTGTGACAAGTAACATTGGCTAAATTTAAAATGAACCATTTGATTGAAAGAAGCCCACTTTGAGAGGGGTAACTACTGTGTTTTATCTCCAGTTAACAGACAACATTTCCAAGAAAAGAATAACAGTCTTCAAGGCTGTCACAGTTATCAGCAGAATCACAGCCTGGTTTCCAGTGACTTTTAAAGCTGAATGAAGTAAGGACTGCTAGATGAACAGTCCCCTTACTAGGCATCAGGCATACATGAAGGAGAAATACTGTGGATATTCTTACCCCAGGGAATACCACAGCAAATCCAAGTGAGGAAAGTTTTAACTGAGTGGAGCCTCTGCCTTACAAGATACTAACGCAAATAAAACCTCCTGTGGTTAAAACATTCGTAAAATCCTTCCATAGTTCTCCATAGCTCAACTAGGTTTGAGTTCATTCTTGGGAACAATCAGTCCTTCATAGTCTCTCTTCCCTATTCAGCTACCTGGAAAAACAAGCAAACCAACAGCTCACAGAATTTACTACCTAACTTCCAATTCCTTGCAAAATTCAACTAAACCTGCCCAATGGATTCAGAAATCACTGAAGCAAAATGGGTGAGGGGGAAAAGAAAGTATGTAAGCAGTACCACCTGCATAGATACTCCTAGGAACACCTTGTATTCCTAGGAATTTGAACTACACAGCATCACTGGGTTTTTATTTGTCTGATATTACCTCCTTTAAGCGTGAGATCTCCTGGTACGGCTCTAAGCCCATATTCTTCTATTCTCTTGCTCACCATATTATTCCACACATAACTCTGGTAGCTATGAATATACATTAAGCGATTATTTCTTGGTATCTAGGGGTAAAGAAAATAAAAAAGTGAAACATTAGAAATATTTAGTTTTAGCTTTTTTCTTTCAATCATAACAAAAAAGGCATGTATGTGAAATGTTACCTTCTCCAGCAACGAGACTTACACAATTCCTGGTATACGATGTGACTTGTGTTCATTATTTGGAAAAAGGGTATGTGAAGAAATAATGCTTCTACATGTTTGAAATTGACACAAAACCCCTCTGTGCTTAAATAAATAAAGCTTTTTAATCTTTTTTCTTATTCAGCAGCTCAAATACATGAGGCTATTAGGCTATAATAAAGCACTGAATGCATACTCAGCCTCCCGAAATCTGAAGTAGATTTTGCAGATGTGAAAGCACAGTGTTATTCTAATTACCTTCCTCATAAACAAGAAATTATTCCTTGGCTCCTAATGTGCCCAGTAGTTTGCTGCTGATGAGGTATTTTCTCCAAAGACTTGATCTTGATTACAGTACTTGAAAATGACAGTGAACCCGCCACGTCTATGTCAAGCTCAATCATTAGCACACTTATCAGTTTAATTTATACTTTTAAAGCAACTGAGATACTGAACTTCTGCACAATTCTCAGATCTGTGTTATACACAGTTATATGCTCAGTCTAACTGTATTGCTTCCAACATACCAGAGAGATTGTTGTATAAACTGGAAAGTTCATTATGCACGCATTAATTACAGATGTTGTCAGTTACCATGCGGCAATACCTCAAGCAAAAAAACAAGGATAAACAAAGATTTTACACTTAATCTTCTACCCATCAGGCATCTATGAGTCTATTTCAAGTTCATCATGGTACCATCAAAAGAATGTTTATTCAAGCAAATACCCCACAGCACTTTTACACTCACTATGCCAAATGCAGAGATTATGTTCTTCATTCCATACTTTAAGAGTCCACGTAGAAGCTGTCCTTCCACGCACCTTTTTACAGGTAGTTTCTTGAGGGCTGCTGCTGGATCTTTAGTCTTTGCCCATTCTTCTCTGCATTTTACCAAGTATCCCTTTTCAGCTAGAAGAAGTACATGAAATTATTTTAACTACACAGGAAAAAAGCATCCATCTGACCTTTTGTTAAAACAGCTGAAAACTGAAAGTTTCAGTCACAGTAATTACATAAACAAAATCACAGAACAGTTGAGGTTGGAAGGCTTCACGTGGAGTCTGAGCAGAATTTATGTATTCAGGTCCCTTTTCATCCCCACTGCAAGAAACTGCACAAGGAAAGGGAAGAGAGATGGAGTCAAAGATTGCTTCTCCGTTGCTAAACTGGCTGAAGTTTAGCACAGGCAGAGCTGTCCTCACTAACGTCTTTTTCCATTAAAAGACTCAAAATCTAAGTGTGTTTTTCCTGAACATGCAGTTCTTGGAGGAGGAGAGGAAGAAACACCTTATGTGTTATTTTTCAGTCCTTACCTCCTGGTCTTGGTTTTAGTATCAAATCCATTACTTCATTCCAATTGTTCTGTAGAATAGCTCTAAGATTCAAACAGGAAAGTGTATTAAGAACTAATAAATTTTAAGATTTATCCAACTTACTCAAAAAAAGAAGTATCAGTGGCTAGATTTATGCAGTATTACAAGTAGTGGTGTTATGCCAGACACCTGCGGAAGCAAGTTCTTTCTTGAATCTAAACTTAAAACTGGCACATGCAAGATGCTCAAGAAACGTTCCCCAAAATACATTAGAAGTCATATAGGGATAAAAATAAAATTCAAAACGAACTAACAAACAAAAAGGGTGGTGGGGAGGGATGAAAACAACACATACCTGCCAATCTGATATGTAGGAACAGCTGTTGTTCCAAATCTTTGCATTCCATAGTAATTAATGAATCCAATTTCCCTGAGAGAGTGCATTGCTTGCTCTATCTGGTCATCAGTTCCTGTTATGTTTCTAGCATTAAAAAAAGTTAGAGACAGATAATTAAGGGCTTACACTATTTTGTGATCCCCACAATCCCCATAAAGCTCAACCTCCACATTATATAGCATGTACCGAATTCATCAGACCAATAGGACTCTTTTTCTTTTTTTAACACAAGATGCACTGGTATCTCTTAACTACTTAAAGGGAAAAAAAAACCCCAAACCTACCAGAGCTGTGTAAATCCATACTAACATATTACCTGAGAACAACAGTGAAATGGTTCCCTTGCAGTTCTCCTAATTTCAGTGGATGGTTCTTGTAACTGAAGTTTCCTAATTTGAAGTTCATCAAACATTTATTCAAATGAGCAAGTCGTTGTGCAGTGATTCTAAAAAGAAGCAGACAACAGTGACCAACTTATGCTTAGCAAGGCAGATAATTAAATAAATACAGAAATGCTGGCATTCCAAGACAAAAAGCAGTAAGTCCAGCTTCCCCAATTGTCTGTTGTTGCCTTTTCAAAGTATTTTAATGAAATATTTAAAAGAAAAGAACAGATAATTCTTAAGGCTACTCATACAAGTGAACATGCATACCACAGCAGAGACTGTTAGTACTGTCTTTCCATGTCTATGTTACAGCAAAAACCCCTATGTTGCAATATTGATGTATATGGTACCCCACAAGTGAACTCTGCTTTGAGTAACTACACCATGAATACACTCTAGTTAGCACAGCCATAAACACAAAGTTAAGTAGGTAGCCTCTGTATAAGCTTAGTGCAGATGAGATCCAATCTGTCACTGATACATGCTGGTTTTGTTGCTAGTACTTTTGGAAGCGTTTCCCTGTTCTCTGCATCAGAGCTGCTCTTTGACACTTCTGCTAAAATTTATCAACAAGTTTATCAACTAGCATGGCCAGCAAACTGGGTTCAGAGTGGGCTGGCAAATGGTAATGTCTCCTCCCCTGCACGATCCTTCTCCAAGGCTGCACAGGAGAGTTGGGTACGGTGGCACTACTGAACAGACGTGACAAATCAGTACACTCCTCCTCAAACAACACGCTGAAGCTCTGGGACACAACATTAAATGTGATCATGTTACAAGTAAACAGAACAGCACCTGAGATGGCTACACCACAAGTCTGGTTACTTGTCATCACTTTGCAAACCTGCCTTGCAGCAACAGGGATCTGGGGCTTCTCACAATTCACAAATTAGTAACTCCTGTTATAAGTGCAAACATACACACATGCAAACCACTGGGAGGAAAAATATGAACAATTAAGTGGTGAATGCCCTCCTTTTAACAAGAATTTGATCAGATTTCTGATGCTCAAACCTTGGAATTCCTCACTTGAAGAACATGGGTTTCAAAGAATTGTAAATAGTAGTCCAGGCAGAATATTCCAGCTAGCTAAACAGACATTGTAATGTATCACTGTGAGGCACTCATCATTCTCAGTTATGGATGTAACACTGATTTCAAGTGCCCAGAAACCATATAATTATCTTGGAAAATGACAAAATAAACTCTATTTTCTCTTCGTAAGTGACTTATGGGAGCAGGTTAAGGCAGGAAAAATTCCTCATCATATTTTGCCCCTTCTGGCTACTCAGAGATGAGCCAAGGCAGTGGTTAGTTGTTCAGAGAGTTCAGTGAGAAAGAAAATGGGACTCCAGCTGGATGAAGGGGGAAAAAGAAGTGAGGAAGGAAATGGGACATAATTTTCACCATGTCATCCTGTTTTTCTGCTGTTGCATGGGAGCCATGTAGCGTAAGAGCACATAGGCAGCTTCGCCTACTGCTTCAGCCAAATACATGTGTCCAGCCTATGACTCAGAGCACCAGTGGCTGAAAATACTAGCAATCACCACTGAGTGAAAAGGATTAGAGCATCTTTATTAATACATGTGCTTTACAAAATCGAGACCTGAATCTCCATTTGTGCCACTGAGACTGCAGACTGGGTGTCCAAGGTGTTTAGTGAGATACTCAGGCTATCTTGGTAGGAGTGCAAATACTCCAGCATACTTTGACTTACCTGAGAACAGCGATCTCTTGAACTGTTATAGCCCTTTTATCCTTGGTTCCCATGTAAGAAAATATGTTTGGCTTCACTCTGAAAAGCAACAGTAACAGGTATTACATATATTAAAATAGTCAGAGATCAAACATAATTTTCAGTGTAATTACCTATAATTATTAATCTTCTATATTAAAAATAGAAATTATACATATATTCCCCAGATCTAGCCTACAGTTTGACATGTGTGACATTTTCTCATCTCATCTCTAAGTAGACAAAACCCAGGGAAACTTCTCTGATTTCATTACACACAGACAGATTAACTTTTACCACAACTGTGCTTTCAGAATATGAGCTCTCAAGTACTTCTTTCTATACATTCTCTCACTGCACAAATGCAGAGCCACCATTAATTTCACTTAAAACCCCATCTATGTCCATTTCGTCCTTAAACTTCAAATAACAGGTCTGTTTGAATACCATGCATGCACATTATGGGAGAACATGAGAAGTTTATTTAAAACGATGCATTTCTTTCTGTAAGAGGAAAATTTCCTTGCCTCTCCACTTTGCAGTTTACAGCCCGTGTTACACAGGAATATTCCCAGTTATTCCACGTACGGGCACCAGGGGGTAGCAGGATTGCCATTACATAGATTTTTCCACCCAACTATGTATGCTCTTAGCATTCTGTTCTCAAATACAAATAGTAGTATACTGGTTGAGTCTAGATTACAAACGTTTATTTTTGGACAGGGAGGGGGAAGGGAAAAGGAGGGGAGAAGTGGGGAAGTTTCCCTGTGAGTAGATCACTGAATTGACCCAATTTTAAAATAATCCTTCCTCTGCAATTTGCTGTGTTCTTGTCACGCCTTTGGCAAATCTTCTTGTTGCTGCAGTTGATGGGACGAAAGGAACTAAGGCTGTGTTGCCATGGAGAAATTAATACATGGAACAACAGTTTACGAAGTGTAACTGCTTAGGAACTGATCAGCATATTATCACAACAATATCTGACAAGTTCATAACATACTTGCATATATTCACACACTGGGGAAAAAAATAACTTTTAATTCAGGATATGCACATCGAGGCTTTGAGCTGCCAAGCCTTTCTTAGATCAGCCAATTTCAGTTGTGGACCTTTTCCCAGTGAAGTAGTAGAGGACAGTCTTTTACATTTTTGTGGATTCTTTTGTTCCATTCTCACCTCTTTCCAAAATGTGCAAGTTTCAAATTTAGTATTATATTTTTTTTTAAAACACTGGGTACAAACTAGGCAACAGTCATCCCTGCGTTGCTCTTCTGTAATCCTGAAGCACTACATTTACAGTAAAATGAAACATGTACAGAGGGAACACTACATGCTAGCCAGGCTGGCAGAAATAATAGCCTTACCTTAAAAATTTGGATAAGACATTAATGGCATCCATGGTATCCTTGTTCTCCTTGTACAGGACAAAGTGGCAGTAGCTTCCCCTAGATTTTGGCCAAGAGTGTTTTCTTGGATCTTTAAAAAAAAAAGGTTAAAATTTGTAAAGTGGCATTTTTTAATTTAATCAATATATTTGCCATTGCAGCTACATTTAAAACAAATGTGCAAGAGTCAATTTCTGCTAATTTCCATCTGCTTTGAGACAAAACCAAGTTAACTGTTGACAGCAAAAGCTGCCCCTTCCACAGGGCTGTAAACTTCTCTTTATTCAATTCTGCCACCTAGAAAATCTTGATTAAAATTATGACAGTTCCTTTGTCATGAAACTATCTATAGATACACCCCAGTCATTTAACTGCCATACTGCCTGATTGTATTTCCCCAAAACATTATCATTACACTGACTTTCAGCAGTAAAAGCCACTCCACATTCTGTCTAGTGCCTTCTACAAGTACTAGATGAGGACCATCAGAGCCCTGTTTGTGGGAAGACTGCAGTTATTTTTTACAGTTTAACACAAATCTTCATTTCTGTAGGATTTTTTCTGTGTATCATGCAAAAGCACGGGTCGTATCTCTACAAAAGCCTAAAAAAAGTATACTCACAAAAAAACTACTTTATTTCTAAGTACTATGGGATAGAAAAATCTAGCACAATAGAAATATCAACAAATAATTCAAGCTAGATACTGTGCTATGTTTAGAGAAGGGCAGAGGATGAGATAACTTCAACTCCTGCAGACTAACAACTGATGTGCAATTGTGTACAATTATTTGGCGTTTCCTGGAGAGGGAAGAAAACTGTGGATGTATTTTACAAGCTTCTGTTGCACACAGAATCATAGAATCATAGAATAGTTTGGGTTGGAAAGGACCTTAAGATCACTTAGTTCCAACCCCCCTGCCATGAGCAGGGACACCACACACTAAACTATGTCACCCAAGGCTCTGTCCAATCTGGCCTTGAACACCTCCAGGGTTGGAGCATTCACAACTTCCTTGGGCAACCTATTCCAGTGCCTCACCACCCTCACTGTGAAGAACTTCTTCCTTAGATCTAATCTAAACTTCCCCTGTTTAAGTTTAAAGCCATTACCCCTTGTCCTACCACTACAGTCCCTAATGAAGAGTCCCTCCCCAGCATCCTTTTTACAATCATCCACTTTGATGGCATTACTGGGAAGGAGGACTGATTCTACACAGGTTTAGCAACCAATTTTGAGGTGCCTTTGTTTATCAATTCTTTGTTTTACAGGAACAAAACTAAGGATTTGTTTTAAATGAGAAGTCCCTTATCTCTTGGTAGCCACCAACCAGACATTCCTGGGTTTGTACAAAAAGGGTTCAAACTCTTTTGCAACAGGAAAAGCTCTCTTAAAAAGCCAGTCCTATTCTAGTATACAAACCTAGTGCAGGAAGGAAGCTCTTGGGAAATTTCACTCTTTTTGTTCAGTTAGTTTAATAAAGCCCAGATACCCCACACAAACAGTGAATGTTTAATTTTCAGGAAACTTTCTGGTAAAAGGTAATTCCTTTTGCTTTTTTTGAGAAGCTGCCATCCATACACATACTTCTGCAAAAACAGTTTTGGATGCTACAGTATAACATACTATGTGCATAATTTTTAATCACTTAAAAATTATTGCAACACTTGCCTTATACCATCAGTTTCTAAGCAAAACCCCCACATACAGAGTTTCCTAGGACCGAAACTGAGCACCATGGCCCAAAGCTTGCCAAGAGACCTCATGTTCCTGCTGGTCTCCCTTCTGAGCCACCACTGCTCTTAACCACAGTCAATGAAACACTGCATTCAGCTTGAAGAGCAACATCCTCCATGAAGAACTCAGTAATTAGAAGGGAAGAGAGGAAGACAGCGTGATTCACAAGCTTCTCCAGCTGGAATTGTTCTTCAGATTTAACTAATTCATCTTGCACATGGTCATTTCAACACCCTTCAAACAGTGAGCCCTAACCTGAGATAAACTAAAAGGACTCTGTAGATACTCCATGTACCAGAGGGCTCTTCACGCTCCAGGCATCACAGCCATATGCCCATCCACCACACTGCCAGCCATGCTGCAGCTCCAGTCCCCATAGTTAACCATTCCTCACCCAGTGCTTCAAAGTATTCTGGGTAGGTGAGTAAACTGGGTAGGTGGACCAGGGGAACAGTTTGCAGCCCTTATTGCTATGCTTCAGAGTCATGGTACAGTTTTGGTAGCAAAATTGCATTTCCAAGCCCTTTCCTTCTGATGCAACTCGAGGGCTGGAAGGTCTATTTTAATATCAGGAGGTATCATACATACTTTCAAAGTTGTATAAACACAGACAGTGTCGTCTGAAATACAACGCTGAAGGGCAAAGGCTTGGCTTAATGAAATCAAGGGGAAATACACTGTAGATGTCAAACAGTATTGTCAAAACTGATCGTTCACATCACTTGCTACTGACAGACTTTATCTGCACCAAGTGACTGCTGCCTATACTGCACTAGAAAAGAAATGTAGCACAAGCCCAGTTCTTGGCTGTTTCAGGGAATTTTAAGTATTACTTAAGTGTAGGGTTTTTTTGAAGAATTAATTGTAACTAGTTTGGCCAGTGCTGTCGCTATTTAGGAGGTCGGCATGGTTGGCATTTCATTTTGTTAGCATGAAATGTCAACATCTCTTACCTGTTGCAGTTCTGACCTCTGTCCCAATGCATAGCGTAAAGAGCACAAAAGAGTAGCATTTAATTTTTAGACTGTCGAAGGGGTTTTAGAGGTGAACATGCAGGTTTATGGTTATGGGTTTGTTTATGCTTTAGGGAGCATCCAACAGTTAGGTGGTGGATGACAGCAATTTAGACAGTTATGCAATGGAATCGTGCAGAGGCAAACAGTGAACATATGGAAAGCTTCAGTCGGAGATGCAACAAACTTCATTTGTGGACAACAATGGAACAGCAGCTTACTGACAATTTAGTGAGACAGTATTTTAAGTATTTTGGGTGTAAACTTACTATATATACACAAAATAGCTTCTAATTTTAATTTTTAGGGAAGTATGTCTGGTAACCTTTTACATTATCAACAAAAATAATCAGGTGTCTCAGCTAATATTTGAATACTCTACACTTCTGAAATGCTTCTTGCCTGGGGAACCCACTCAGGACTAAGATGTGCTAGTGGCTCTATAAACACAAAAGATAAATCTAATCCTGACTAAAAAAACTTGCACTCTTAAAACTACATTCACAAGCATTTACACACACTCACTGAAACTGCACACATCTCCATGCACAGGTATTTGTAGCATCACAACTTAGGAATCCAAGTTGAAACAGATGATGCTTCTCTGCATCACAAGATGGTGCTCCAGATAATGTTTTAATACTAGAGACATGTCACTAAATTCTTTTGAGCACATTTCAAATAATTAAATTCTCTTATATACAGTATCTCTTAGATCAGACTGGTCAGCTTAATAACAAACCACTTGACTGTAACGATGATTAAAGAATAGAAGGAGCAGAAGGAAAAGGCGGAGGTAAAACCGTTACAGACCAACAGAGAACAGAACTGGCTGAGGAGGATTTTGTGCTGGTAAGTTACATACTCCATGCATAAAACATGCAAACATACAAGTTTTCTAAATGAGGTTAAACAAGATACATAAACACATTATAATTTTATCAATAAAAGTACAACATTCCCATATTTGTCTAGAATGAGCCTTAAAAAAACCCAGCTAAACTGAATATGGAGATGGTGTTATTTCCAATTTTAAATTATCTCCTTATCTGTTCTCCATCTCCTCCATCTTTAAAATGAAAGGGCTAGGTTTACATACTTTCACTTATGGGAGGTCGATACGACATAGGAATGCTATCACTTTAAACCAAACCAAACTTTAATATCTTTAGTTAAATGTGTAATATTCTACATATAAACAATCCTCTCAACTTACAGCAACAATAAATTTGTAATAACTTTATAAGATATAGAACGCATGAATTTATCCCCAGTAACCAGAACAGTATTTCATAAGATGAAGGTGGATAACATTTAATTTTTAAAATCCTTCATTACTTTCATTGTTCCAATAGTAACTATGATTTATAATGAATAAAGACATTTTCTGCAAATATAATTAGCCTTGCAAGCAGAAGTAGCCTTAAAAATCATGGTAATTATATTACGTTTATACTACAACCCTGAGATAAAAAATAGGTGCTTGTCTCTATTCAAGTCATTAAGAATTTTGTCAGGGATTTTCAAGACAGTCCAGATTACACTGCCTGTCAGTGTCACATACGCATTTCAACTACAACCTCTTGCTTCCACACTTCACTTTTACACATCCAGGTAAGTTCATGAAAGCTAAATACAAACAATACCCTAAAAAGCCCCTACTTTGATTATTCCCACTGAAATAGCAAAAGATCCTCTCACTTCTAACATGATTATGTTTGATGAATCATCTGGAAAGAAAAAGAAGTAGAAATTTGTATTTGAGACCCTCCTTGTGTTCCTAGTCATTACAGATGCACTGCATCTGCTGCAAAGAGGAAAAGGCAAAGCCAGACTGCATTAGGAGGTACCCTCCGCTTGAAGGAAGTACTTACTAATGACTCTTATTTTGCAGATAATTTTAGCATTTACTTTATCCAGCTACTGTGACACTCAAACTCACTTGCCAGTGCTTTTTTCCCAGCAGCGTGATAAGCAATAATGTATTTTTTTCCATCTCGATCTTCTGTTTTAGTCTCCAGTCCAGGAAACAAGGACTTCACAGCCTGATGGATAACTGTTCTTTTTTCTTTGGTGTCTTCCATTACCTGTGTTAATACACACGCATGCAGAAACCAAATAAAGTAATGCAGAAGTGGAGGGATTCTCTCAGAGTTGAATTTTGCATGCTTAAAGAAAACCCACCAAATCACACCAAAGTGGTGACTGGGTGTACTTTTAAAGTCTGGCCTGCTTATTAGAATTAGTTTGAAAAGTAACAAATAACTCTGCTACAAATCCCTCTCTCGACATTCACAGAAGAAAACTCTCAAGATTTATTCCCCTCTGCTGTGCTTAATAAATTGCTCTCTTCTAATGAAATCCCTGGCAAAATGAAGTTTTTCTATAAGCATTAAAGGGGGGAAAAAAGGTAAGATTACATAATGTGTGAATGCTTATTTGAGATTACCAAATTTAATCCTAGTAATCCGCATCCCATATTTAACTCAACAGTTATTCTTCAAATATATAGAATATTTGGATCTTTGAAAATGCCAAGTCTTAATTTCAGTTTGTACCTTCTTGTTTTTCTTGCTACTGAAGAGTATATTTATCTCCTTTTCTATTAGATCACTAAATGCTGACCTTGAAAATAGTCTAGTCTTTCATCAAGATGGATGTTTTATTTAATCCTTCTTGCAATATTATTCCATAAAACAATACTAGACAGAAAACCAAAATACTGCAAGAAAATTTTAACACCACAAGAAATAAGATGTGTATTTGTGTTCATATGTACAGTCCCACTGAAATCAAAATGACAACTCATATGCATGAATTTAAGTATTCATTTTGAATAAATTTTGAGTAAAGCTTTACAGAATTAAACCCTAAACTGGAAACATTTTGGTATTACCTGCTGCATCATGTTCAAACTGCTCTAACACCTTACATGCACCAAGAAGCATGTACCTTCCACTCACTCCCCCTCTCATCCTTCGTCCTTCCCCCCAGTTTCATATCATTTATTAATTTTACCTCTATGGCAACACTGGTTTCCTTATTCTTAAAAAGCTGGAGCTCCTCTAAACGCTGCTTGTCTTCATCTGACAAAACTGTAAATGTTTCTTCTGATGGGTCCTAATACATATTCGGAGGAGGAAAAAAGAAACATCCAATAACCCTCATGGAACAACCGTCAACCTTTTAATGGTTTTGCTTGACCAAATGTTAACCTCAAACTTTACCTCATCATCCACTGGAACAGTAAAGTCATCTAAATGGCTCACACGTCCATCTTTGCCTATTTCATGGACAACAAAGTCCGAGTATCTGACAGGAAGAAATAAGTATTAAATGTGTAATAAAATAAAATAAAACATCCCACATCACACAAAATCATTTCCCAAGCAGCTGTTTGCTAGCAGAATTCACTCAACAATTCTGAATTCACATAATTCAATTCACCTAAAAGAAACTTCAACCATGAGAAAGCTGTACCTATTCCCATCCCTCAGAAGGACACCATGAGAACACAGAAGGAAGTCTGGCCTATTTAAACACAGCAGACTTCTTTGCAGATAACCAAACCACCTGGTGTAGTTATTCAGAGTCATTTTCTCAGTAGCTGGCAGAGATCAGTAATGTATATCCTCAATCCCAGTCATTACTGACAATTAAGACTCTACTGCATTGCTACAATGTGAACACAAATGCATTAACTCTGTCACTTGGAATAACCTGCAGAATAAACTATGTTAGCAACTCTTAACAAAAGCAAGACAAATTCAGCTCTGTTACATACATTCAGTTATAGAGAACATCTTTGAAATGAATAGTTACTCTGCATACTCTATGCCAGGAATAAAGAATTTGGGATATTCTCAATCAAGTCACTAAGTCAAATAATAAAAACATCCTGACTTTAATAGAGCACAGTCTAGGTTGGAACTGCTACATGATTTCTAACTAGCATGTGCTTGTAAAGGAAAAGAAAAAAATTCTTAGTCTACGGATGTTGAAAGATGAATAAAAACTTCACCATGCGAGTGTTACGACAGTGTTCCCACAAGCCCCTGTTTGCCATACATCTCTGCAATGCATTGTATTGGTAGAATTCCTTCCTGAGGAGTGTTACATGTCCTCTCTCCTATTACCTGTAGCTGTCTAAACATGCTAGTGACTGGTACCATAAAAACACCACGACTAAATTAATGATAGGTGTTATAAACTAGGATCAAAGAAAAACTGCGAGGCCACAAACATTTCTAACACTTGGCTACCTTTGGCCACCTTGGTTCAAAACTGGCAGATTTCCCAGAAGGAAGTTCAGCACAGACTGTGCTCCCCAGTGAAGGATTATGCCAGCTGCTTAATGCTGCACATAAAGATTAAATATATACTAAATATGTGCACATCACTTTATTATGTAAAATGATCTAAATATGAAGCCAGTATTTAAAAACGAGGACTTCCATTTGTGTAAACAAAGCATCCTTAACTGCTTTGCTAAGTCAGGGCAACAATGATTCTCACTTCAGTGAGTTTTTGTATTTGCATTTTGTTTTATTCAAACATGTTATTTAATAAAACCAATCTAGTAAAATCCCAAATTAAACCTTTCTCTCAAGTCACAGCACTAGGAAAAGAAAGCAATGAACCTCTCAAGTGGCTTCACATAATCCAGTTGTATTCTGTGAGTCAGAAAACTGAGAACAACAGGTGCTTAACACGAGGTATTAACATACATAACAACACAAAGAATTACCTCTCTTTCAAGATTCCAGAAAACCCTTTATGAGAGCTAACAAATTTAGTTATGCCAACATCACTTTCTGTCAGTCCATGCTTCATCATGTCTGCAAAGCTCTCTGGATCTCCATCTTCGTCACTGTCCTCTAGTTCCTCCTCTTCCTGCTCCTCACTTTCCTCATTGGGGATTATTTCATTTTTCGTGTCCTCAAGCAGAGATTTGTCAGGTTGTTCTGTTACAGTCTCAATGCTCTGCCCAGAGTCGTTCCCTGTCTTAGGCTTCTCTGAGATCTTCTGTCTTTTAATTTCATCTGCATTAGCCACACCATCCTCAGAGTGAGGACGTTTCAAGGATACACTATTCATTTCTACAGTTTCCATGTTTAAGGCACAGTGTAGGATAGAAAGCCCTGAGGAGCAAGAAGAATGGCTTATTTCTTGTCTGCTTAAAAGCAATATCAATACATAGTCTCTTCACTCCAAGGACTCTGCCCCCTGCAAGAGTTCAGGAAAACCACATAACTTTCTGCATTTTAAACATCAAGATTTTGTACAGCTAGAAACAATATGTACTCGGGAGGAGAGAAGGGAGATGTTGAGGGGACTTAATACCCACCCCAGACAGCATGCACCCTACAGAAGCGCAGGAGTCAATACTATACCGACCATTTACCACCACCATCAACTCCCACCACAGCTGCCTCCACACACACAGGCTCTGCTGTCGATAGCAATTTAGTGCCTAAGACACTTTTTGTTCCCAAGTCTTCTATTAAATGACTAATCTTGATTATTCCTTTTTCCATCAAGATTCCATCTTGTAAGGATTGAAAGAGGATTGCTCGATTCCCCCAAACCTGAAGTCTCATCTCTTCATTCTCTGTTATAGAACCATAGAATGGTTAGGGTTGGAAAGGACCTTAAGAGCATGTAGTTCCAACCTCATCTCTTCTAACACACAAATCCCACACGGAACTCAAGGTGGCAGCAATTCAGACCAAAAGATAAAGGGATGAGATACCAAAATTACTGAATGACTGAAACCAACAGGGAACAACAAGGAAGTGAAATGATCTCCAAGAAGAACAAGACTACTCACACTGGTGGAGCAGAGCTCTGATTCTTCCCTGGCAGTGTGATGTGCCACCTTTGTGTCAGCAGAGATAGCACCTCAGATCTGAAAAACAGAGGAAAGCCAACTCTTTGATAAAGTTTTAGGGGATGGGAAAGATTATGAATATATGAATATACGAATGTGATTGTTACAGATACTGGCCACTTTTGAAACCAGGTATCAGCAGCTGTATGGGAACAGACACAACTACTCAGACAGACAAATCAATAACAAACACAACTGTAAAAGTGTTACCAACCTAGTGACATAACACAACACTGCTATTCAGCAAGCTAGAGCAGAGAAGTCTGGGTTTATTTCTGTGTTTAGGGAAGGAGACTGGAGTTCCTATAATTGGGTAACTACAGGACCTTTCTCCCACACCACCCAACTGGCACACTCGTGTAGCAGGAATAAAGCGCAGGTTTTGGGGGCTGCATGGGGGAGCGCATAAACTGCCCTGTGCTGGTCATGGCCAGTTCCAGCTGGGTCCACAATGGACCAAACCCACTGCTTGCCAGAACTCCAGATCATCAGATGAGCCCACCGTGCCTCTGCTCCAGCTTGTTTAAGGAAGGGAGGAGCAACTGGTGGCAGAAAGTGCAACGGGAAGCACAGGAGGAGGCATGTGAAGTGCGCTAAAAAAGACATGGGAGGAGGCACGGGGAAAGGAACAACTAGGAATCACTCTTTGAAGGAAGATCTTCACAGGGACACCCCTGAAGTGGCTGCAGCCTGTCTGGTGCCTACACTGGGACAGGGACACCTTTGAGAGGCCTGTGGCCTGTGGAGAGGCTCACATGGGAACAGAAGAAATGAGAGAGAAGGAGCAACCCTCTATGGACCAACCCCAACGTCCTAAACCCCTGCTGCCTCACCCATGGCAGACACCATGGGACAGAGTGTAACCTAGAGGACAACCAGGGCATAGGAGATGAGGAAACCAGAGGAGGGGAGGTTTCTGCAGTGAAGTTGAGCCTGGGGAAGGGGGTCTTCTTGGGAAGGGAGTTTTCCCCAAGTGTTATACTGTTGGTCGTCTTTGTACCTCACTAGCCAAATCAGTAATCAGAAGTTTATGTTAACTGGCAGTTAAATTCCCAATTTAATTGTAGTCAGGACAATTCTGCCCAGAGTAGGCAACTTTCTAAATTAATAGGATTCAACTGTTACAAATAAATTAATCTAGGCACAGGGCAGTATTTTAGAGCTACATACATCATCATAAAAGTATGTTTTTAAAGAAAGATTCATTACTAACTTGATAATCACCACAGTTAGTTGTTAACTGTCACCACTTGTTAGCCACTGCTGATTTCATTGCCTGGAATTGCCATTGTAAAGGTCACAAAACTTAAACAGGCAGGAACGGTTTTAAAAACACCTGAAATGTTTTGCTCAAATGAAGAACTGAAAATGGAAAAAAGAATGGACAAAAGAGAGATAAGGAGAGACTTATAAAAAAGTGTATGTATTGCCTGATGAGTGACAAAACACACACAGAAGCCAGGAGAGCAATTACAAAATCTGTGTACCTTCAAGCAGAAAGCACCAATTTCAGTTTGTCCTCAAATAAAGACAAGAATACATAAAATCCTTCTTTAAAAATAAATAAATAAATAAAAAATCATAGCCAAGACAAACAGTTCACCACCATTTACAGATTCTCCTACATACCCAAATTTATGGAGCCCAGGTTACAAAGCACTTATGTGGAAAAGGCTTCTCGATGGCTTGTGAATGCCTTCACATGGTGACCAAAATGCCCCTCAGCAAAGCAAAGTCCTTTGAGACACCTGCAAAGGAGGTACCAAGAAGCTTATGTTTCTGAAATAAAACTGTGAGGTATTACAGGTACTGAACGATACAAACTATTAGAAGACTTCAACGTTGGCCACAGGTACTCCAACGTTGTCAGATATGGCCTATTCTCACAGCAGAGGAATGCCTCACACTAAAGTACTACCCTGTGCCAAACGGGTGCCATCACCTGGGAAACTTTCTGCAGGGTAATTACTTGAAGGAGCAAGCTGAGCTGAGTGAGACAGACTCACTTGACCAGACTGATAATGAGAAGGTAGTGAGAGGTGCTGCAGCGTTTCAGTCCTCCTAGCAAACAGGTGTTTCCATAAAAGCCAGAATCTGCACAAACAGCAATTCCAATACTGACCATGTTTTAGCAGCGACTGGATTTGCTACTATAGATAAAAGGCTTGATTGTCCCCCGCAAGAAACGCTAAGCAATCACTTCTAGTGTGGTACCCGTCGGACAGACACAAGGGCAGGTGGGGGCTACGGCGCATTTCTCATTTAAAAGGGTAAATAAAGGAGTACGAGCACTCCAGTGCCGGATACGGAGCTGGCTTCCCATGAGACAAGGCAGATCGGATTAAAAGGCGACCGACGAGAGGGCTCGACGATACCGCAGCGCCCGAAAGT